GGCACTGCCGCAGCCGCTTGGTGAGCTGCCCGCCCTCCTCGTGGCCCACGTAGCCCGGCGGCGAGCCGATGAACTTGGCCACCTGGAGCGGGGAAAAGCGGGAGAAGAGCCCGGGATGGAGCCCTGGAGCGGCCGGCACCATTCCCGCCCGCTGGAACAGCATCCGAGCTCCCATCGCAGCTCGGGAATCTCCCAGGGCCTTTTCGGGAGCAAGGAATGGCAACGGCAGAGGCTTTGGTGGGGAATCAGGGTCCACCACCAGCTGCATCGGTGCTGGGTGCTGCGAATGCTTCAATAAAGCTACACAGAATAAAGCGGAATATTCCTGAAAACGGCTGGATTTTAGTAAAAAGCACGTGGGAGTTTTGCCGCAGGTCGGGATGCTGCCGAGTCTCCCGGTTTCGCGGGTGCTCCCTGCACATCCAGGTCCCTGTCCCTTACGGGAGCTGCGAATCCGGAATCACGGGTGGGTTTGGGCAAGTCGCTCCAGGACGCCTGGAATCCGCACGGGTCCCACACAGGGAGCAGAGGGATTTCTTGGAGCAAACCTCCCAATCCCAGAACACGGGTGACTCCCCCAAAGCCACCCAATTTGCAGCCTCTTGTGCCTGGACAACCCCGTGTCCCTTGTCCTCCTTTCCTGCCACCTCCGGAGCCACCTGCATGGGACCTGGAGACCCCCTGAGATTCCAGGCACAGAGGCCAGAGGGTCCCCGCGTTTTGGGGACACAAAGGCAGGAATTGGCCGAATTCCCCTCGAATTCTCCCCCTGGGAGAAAATGACCCCCTTGGTGTCCCCGCGCGTGTCCTTGGCAGGTCCCTCCGCAACGGGTCCAGCCTGGACACGCGGCCAGGGCAAATCCCGAGGATGGAGCTGGCCAGGAAGGATTTTCCCTCTTCCCGCATATCCCAGGATGGGATTTGCACCGTCTCGGCTTGGCCCAGGCTGCAAGTGGAGCCAAACCAGGCCTGGGAGGTTGGGAATAGCTGCTTGGAGCTTCCCTCTGCTCCTGCCGTGCTGCAATCCTTCCCGCGCCCCCTTTGGATGCCCTCAACCTGGAGAACATGGAATTCCTTGGGAAAGACCCCGGGCACTCCCTGCCAGGACAAGGTCCAAGTGGGAGCACCCGTGGGGACCCTCAGCCCTCCAAAGACACGAGGAAAGGCCGGGGAAAGAAGGAATTGATGCCATTTGTTTAAATTACCAATTAAACTCGAGGCCGCGATTGTCCATTTACTGACCTCGTGCCTTTCCTGGAACTCGGACATGTCCAGCCTGATGAAACCCTGCAAGAGAAATACATATATCAGGTGCTTTGGGTGAACGTGCTCCGGGTTTCCATGCATTTAGGAGCCTGGGGAGGCTCCTGGTTGGGTCTTGGTGTATCAAAACACGAAGAAAAGCCTCCTTAGAGCATCTGAAATGCTCATCCCTCAAAACTGCCCGTGCACTTGGCTATTTTAGCCTTCTTCTGGTCCGGTTAGGTTTGTTTTAGCTGGAATTGCAGCCAAGCCAAAGGTTTCCCCACTTAAACAGGGTGCAGGAATCCATCGTGTGAGCAGTCTCCGTGTGAAAGAGGCTGCATCATTCCCATGGGATGGAAAATCCAGCCCGAGGGAGCCAGGTGAGTGGCCCGAAGGCCAATATTGGTCCTTTCCGGACCATTTTAGGGAGCTTCTCCCACCTATCCATGAGGAACAAGCCACAAACAGCTTCCATAGGGCCCAATGAGGGCCCCGGCCGCGCCGGCCCGGCCTGGGGACACCGGCACTTTGTCCCTGCGTCGCCACCTCTCCACGAGTAGGAAAATGAGACCGTTATGGATCTGCTCATCAGGCAGCTCCTGCCGAGAGCGCCCGCGTGGTTTATGACCCCTCTTCACGCCGCTCGTTACAGCAATGACTGTCAGGCTGATTCATGAGCAGCCAAACGCCCGTTTGTGCACGCTATCGAATTAACACCGCATCCAGGCCTGAACTTGTGGAGGCTTGTTCAAAGACAATAGTACCTTGTTAGCAGATAGTTAACCACAAGGGTGTCAGTCTTTGCAGCAGATGGGGGACAGAGCCGAGAAAGACGAGGACTGAGGAACACCTCCCCCTGCCTCGTGTGCGACGTGTCTTGCCAGAAGAAAAGAAACAAAGCCAGACAACCGCGCAGGTGGCCAGATGCTGATTGGTTGTGCGCTTTGCAACACTTATGTTAAGAAAGTATAAAAAGAAGTCGGTTTGGAAATAAAGTTGTCTCACTCTGCACCCCAGACTGAGTCCGTTTCTTCACAAGGTGCAACATGAACTGATTTGTCTATTTGATGTTTGGCCGGGCAGTGACCAGTTCCAGGTGCAGGAGCTTTGGCTGAAGGTGCTCGAGATCCAGGAGCTGGGATTTATCGCCTCTGGAAGGCAATTACGGAAGCACGATGAAAAGAAACCAGAACAGCCCCTTTTACAGCTTCGTTTTGATCTCTTTTCTACATGTGTTGTTTTATCTGGTGCCTACTCTGTGCTGGAAGATAGCGGGGATTAATCTAACAGGGATTAATTAATCCACAGGGCACCTCTGTGTTCCTTCCCCGTGACACGCGGAGCGTCCGCAGGTCTCGGGAGCTGGAAAACGGGCTCTTCCCAAGGGCAGGAATGTGCCGGAACGGGATGCAGGGATGCTCAGGGCGCTCGGGTACCTTTTTGACGTCCTTGTGCAGGTACTTGGCGGTCTGCTTGGCCAGCTCCGTTTTACCTGTGCAAACACAGAGGGAAGAGGCACATCAGGAAGGACGGGACACCCAGGGCTGCCTTTTAAACCGCTGCTTCTCCCAGGACGGGCGGAGGGATCGGATTTTATTTTATTTTTCCACCAAACCCGCAGGTAGATCGGCTCTTAAAGACATTTGCTTTCCCGAAGAGCAATTCCAGGGCGACGCGAGGGTCTTTGTTTGATTTACACAGGGCAACGGGCAAAAACCCCCGGGCTGAGGAACGATCAATAATTCAAAAGGGATCCGCAGAGCAGATCCCCACGGACGGAGCCTCGGGAAAGGCCCCGGCTCGGCTGAGCCCCCGGCCTCCCCATCCGGGGAAAAACCCGGCCCAGGGGCAGCTCCGCGGCGCATCCCGTGTTTTATTGCAATTTAAGCGTGCCCTGGAAAACCGTCGGATGGGCAGGCACGCGGTTGTGCCACGAGCAACTCCAAAAGGAAATTAAAATTGTGTCTTGGAAGCCAAACCAGCTAAAAAGCAGCAGGCAGCTCTGCCCAGCCAAGAGAGCTGCAGTTTACGGCAGAAACGGGCTCTGGCGGGGTAAAATATATATATATATCCCCCAGGCTGCTGTATCTTGATCATATTGTGCCTCTGGAGCATGAAACATCTGCCCTGGCCCAGGGCAGCTGCTTTTCAGTTAAGGTGAATCTGGCAGATGAGATCTGCAGGTTCATTTAATTACAGCCCCTGCTTAACGAGGGCCAGGATATTTTACCGACTCATCTGTGCCTGCAGCCTGAGCCTTGGGTGGGCCCTGGCGGCTTCTTTTAGATATAAAAACTGCAGGAAAATGGGAATTCAGCACTGGTACCTCCACCAAAACGCTGCCTTCAGCTCCTGCTTTGTTGCCTTCAAACCCTGCTGCATCTCAGCCCCATGCATGAAAACATGCATGCATTTGTGTACATACGTGTATGGGATCCTTAAAGAGCTTTAAACATGGGAATCACGCTGGATATTTCAGTCCCTGCAACATCTGGGTGCTGCTACTGCACCCAGCCCCACACGAGGACCCACTTGATGCATTAACATCCTCAGCTGCTTTGCTTCCTTAATCCAATATTCATTTTTACGGCAGCAAAGGAAGAAGAGAAAAACTGCCAGGGAAATATATGAGGGCTGAAGAGCTGACAATTTATATTATTGAGCCTTCAGATCTGCCATGAGCGGCGCAATGAAGTCGCCCAGACGTTTCTTACCGTTTTTATACAGCTTTATAGCAAGTCATTTAGAGTTAATACTTGGCCAGCCACTGCTCTAAGGCAGGAGCCTGTTGAGCGGCAAACGCTCCCGCTGCTTTAAATCCCTCTTTTTCCTTTTTTCCCTCCTAGGAAAAGGCGTTTTGTCCAATTTGGAGAGCTCACGGGCTGCCACGTTGCGTTTGATGGTGTTGGGGGGAAAATGGCAATAAAACAGCATCGTTATGGAGAAATCCCTGCCCGTGGAGGCAGGGATATACCCCATCCGGGGAGATATTCCTGCAGGAAAATGCTCCCATTGCACCTTTGTGCTGCAAACTGCCCCTTCCCGAGGCTTTAGGGGATCCCTGGGTTATCCCCAGGGATAACCCGCCGCGTTACCTATTCCCGAGGATCCCAAGAACAGGAAGACCAGCGGGTGCTCCTCGTCGTACCAGCCGTTTTCCTTCCTCCGGATAGCTTGGAACACGGCAAAAACAGCAGGGAGAGGGAGAAAAAAAACCAAAAAGAGCCATATAAATCAATGACACAAAAGCAAGTATAATTATCACTAAGTATACACTGTGTTTTACTGCTCTCTGCCCACTCCGAGTCCTCCCTGCCATTAGTGCCATCTAATTTGATTAGGCAGCAAAGGCCCCAGAGACACCTAATGAGGTTAGCATGGATTTGGAGCGCTGCCCGGAGCAGATTTCGGATAAAGTTTTCCAGGATGTGCACTCAGCGTTGCCAGGGCGACGCGGGAGCAGGCGGGAGGCTCCGTTTCCAGCTCCGAACGCAACCTGGCGGGGGGAAGTTTCCACCTTATTTCCCAAAAAGAGGGATGTTTGAGCGGGAATGTCGCGGGAAGCGGCGTGGGGTTTCTTGGGAAGAGGCTGGTTCTTCCATAGGGGAGAGCAATAGGGAAGAGCATCCTGGCTAAGAGGCTGCTGGAAAATTTGGGAGGATTGGGAGGATTTGGGAAGCGAAACGCCCAGTTTGCTCCGCAGGGAAAACCGCATCCTTGTTCCTGCAGACCCCGTGATTCCCGTGATCCCGCTCCCGGTTCTGCAGCCGCCGGGATGGGATTTAGCCCCTCGGCTCCCTGAACGAGCAGCTCCGGGAAAAGCGGGAAAAGCAGGAAAACCAGCGCGCGGCACAAGAGGGAGACCGGGAATGTGGCTGTGGAACACGAGCACATCTCCAAGGATCCGATGGGAACGAAGTCATCCTCATCATCCTCATCCTCATGCGTCATCCCGTCCCGCGCTTCCTCGCTATCCGGAACGCGCTCCGCGGAGCTGGCACGGATCCCAGTTGGAATAGGACATGGAATGGGCCAAGGGATCCTCACCTGGGGGATTATTAGGGAGGAAAATACCGTGGCAGGAAGCGGAATTAAGAGGGAAAAACCACTCGGAATCTGCTGGAGTGAAGACTGGGAAGGAAATTCAACCGGAGCAAGGAAGGAAAGTCCATGAAAAAAGCTCTTTTTGCCAAAGTTAAGGAAAATAAGGAGCCCTAAGAGAAGGCACCGTAGGATGCACGGGGGTGGGAAACCCACGCAGGGCATCCGGAATAACCGCTTCCATGAAGCGCTTCCATGCTTTGGATGGCAGGGAAAGGCCGGCTCTAAGGGCCTTTTTCCAGGCCACTTTTTCCAGGCCACGGGATGCTGCTCCCGGCGCCGTCCGCACG